ATTTACACATATAGATATATATATATATTTTGTCTCTGCTCCATATCGAAGCTTCCATTTTAATGGCCATGTGTCCCACATTTTGTTGACTGACTTTTCTGACAAATGTTTAAATTTTTTCTTGAAGTATTCATGGGTAAATAAAATTTCTGATTCAAAGTTTCTAGTAAAACCTACTAAGCAGCTCTTTTAGCCTGCTTGAGGTCATTCGAGGTCTTAAAGTATTATGTGAGGTTATTTTTGTTCAAAAACAATTGATATTACCGCTGTAAACAATTTAAAGATCCGCAGATTCTGTTTGGCCTGGTAATTAGTAACACATTACTCTACACAGAGAGTGATAGTGTTAAGTAACTTATTCCTAATAGATCACATTTTGAGAGAAACTTCTGACGACAGCATTAAACATGTTAAAGTAAACTGTTGAGAGACCATTTCCAGTTATGCTGAGAATGGCTGTTTTGGCTAATCCAGTGAAGTGAATCAGAAAACTTCATCTTAAACATTTGCCATAAAGCAGTCCTGCTCATTAATTTAGAACATTGCTTGCAAAGTGCTTTATGGAAATCATAATAAGTCTCTTAACCCTCTAATTAAAACTAAATACTAGGATTTTCCTACGCAGTACCTATAATGTCCTCCATGTAAAGATTTAAAGCACACGTACACACATTTCATACAAAAGAAAAGACATGAGTTCAGAAAAGCTCATTAATTAGTCAACAGAGCAAAGCTAACAAGAGAGATGCATACAGAGGCGACCACTCAAAAGGGACGGAGAAGAGAAAGCTGTCAGGAAACCCAGAGATGGAGTCATCATCATACTGGAGCTCGTCTCCGGACGAATCCTCTGACAGAAAGACTGTGTAGTGACGAGTAGGACGGATAGAGCTACAAAGAGGAGAAGGAAGACAACAGGAAATTTACAGATCATTATATGTATGTTAATGAGGTCAATAAAAAAAGATCAGGAATGAATAGGACAAGGAAGAAGAAGAAAGAAGAAAGGGGCAGTTTAGCATTAGTAATCCTAAGAGGATCAGTTTTTATTGTGATCTACACAAAGTATAGTAGGATTAGCGTCTCACTGTTATGTCATTACACTTTATTTGAATGAGCCTATAAAAAGCTGTGACCAGCTAGTTTAAGAGGAAATTAGACCACAATGGCATGAATGAACACACCAATTAACAAAATCTGTTTATCTGCAAAAATAAATCCAAAAACTTTGAATGTCTGTGTGACTGTATTTGGGAACTGAAGGGAGTCTGTCCCACTGAAACAGTACAGAGCTGTCTCCTTTAGCTTTCACTCTAATGTAGGCTACTTTACATACAAGCTGCATTTTAAGGTCCAGACACACCAAACCCACTTCAGAGAACTTGCGTCAACAAAAGCCAACTGCTGCGTCGCCTCCTGAGGCCTGTGCCTTAGCCAAAACATTTTACATGAAAACACTGCAAAGACTACAGCCGACCTCTAATCAGCATGTATGTTCTGCTCTGCTCTACTGCATATCACTATCTCGGCGTCTTCTCCGGAGCCTTTGTGCTCCACTGTCTCTCAGATTAACTCATATCTCAGCGGTGCCTGGACAGCGTGACGTGTGTGGTTGTGCTGCTGCCGTGGTCCTGCCAGATCCTGCCTAATGCTGCTATTATTGGTCATACTTTTACTGTCATTATACACATATGATTATTGTCACATACATATACTATCATATATTAATATATACCTACAACACATTGTATCACAACATCCGTAATTATTATTGTAATATTATTACTTATATTAATGTTGTTGTAAGCTATTATCATTAGTGATGTCATGAGAACCGATACTCGTGAAACCTATCGATTCCATGATGAAAAAAAAACAAAAAAACTGCGATACTCATTTTTTTGAAAAACCGGAAGAACCGATACTAGCGTAAGAATTGGTGCTATGACTCTTCCGGAACTGATGGGGGCAGTATACGCCACATAGCGTTACAGTCCATGCTAGGGCTGGGCGGTATACCGGTTTGTACCGAAAACTGGTATTTATTTTTGTTTTGATATGAATTTTTGATATACCGCAATACCAGTGAATAGCCCAAACAACGTCCGGAACGTGCATGGCGGAAAAGTGTTTCAGCGGGGACCCATTTCACTGCTGCACACCACAGGCGTGCTAGAGCTGGCGAGAGTGAGAGCGTAGAGAAAAGTTTAGAGGCAAGAATGCTGCTGGAGAGAGTCCTGAAAGCGAAGCAACTGTACACGTTGCTGAAGAAGAACACGATGACCCAGAAGAACTCATACCAAATAGAGCAGTGTTTCCCCTATATGCAACTAGCAGCGGCACACCACCGTTTACAGTTCTCCTCTGCTCTCTGTATCACACACACACACTCGAGCACGGCTCGGACCGCATTTTCCTGACCGAAGACGACCCGAGTCAGAGATAACCGAGCACGGCACTAATGGCGCAGAGCCTGTGTTGCGTTCAGGCAAACACGTAAATAACAAATTCCAGCACTTGAATAGGCCATATGGCATACCTACACGCGAAAGGATGGCAGAAGCAAGTGCTTGAAAGTAAGCTGGTATGGTCCGGTACTGCGTACCTCTAAAAGATTCAGTAGCGGCACGCAGTACCAGGAAGTAGAGAGTGCAGCTGCCTGCTAAAGCCCAAATTCAGAACCAGTCACAGCCGCACTTTAGGCCAGAAAATAGATCTGCTAGCAATATATGCCCTTTGAAACACCACTTTGTCGGTTTATTAATTGCTTTTAACTCGTTGCTACTTTGCTTTTTAAAAATGCATGAAGCGAGGAGAGGTGAACAATATGAAGCAATGAAGATTTTGGTAATAGTACTGGCAAGAATTTAAAACTACTTTCAACCCTGTATATAAGTAATATCAATCTGTTGATAGAAATATTATTCTATATGCAAATATTTTAATAAAGTATTTCTTGTTTATGTTCATGGGATCTTAGGAATTTTTCTTTTTTACCTAGGTATCGACTCTGATATCGAGAATCATGTAATTTTACTGGTATTGGCGCACCCCCCCGCGTGTGTGGAAATAGCTTTCCACACCAGTAGATGGCAGTAGTCTGTATCAGGCCCTGAGGAAGTGTGCCAGGCTTTGAAGCCAATTTTTGTAGTGGCCAAACAGTGGTACTGCAATTCCCAGCGTCCGTCATGTGATGCTATTGGACCCAGAGACTTTTTCCCATAGACTTATATTGGTAAAAACGTAAGTCTGTAAATCAGTATCGATTTTTTTTTGAGCATCACAACCCCCACAAAATGACTTATTTTAATATCAAGATTTAAAGAGGCAACAGATAGCATCTTTTCCTAAATATATCATTATGAAAATAATGTGGGTTGCACAGGGTAGTGGCCACAGTAAATTCAGACTATCTGCGTTTACATAGGTTACTTATTGGCTTTGCAATCTTTGTAATAAGCTTCTGCCACCGGGGACGAATTTTCGCTGAAAAAATCTGCTTTACGGCAGGAAATGCGTCATGTATTGCCAAACTGGTCGGTCAGCCAATCAGGGACTGGAGCTGGTCCTTATGAGGAGCTGGGCATGAGATAGTTGAGTCACGAGCACAATGGCAGACGGACAAAGTTTGGAGATAAGTGAAAAACGGCCTCCCAAAAGAAAACGAGCTCCCCTGTCTGAGGAGGCAAAGAAGAGCAAAAAGGAGAGTGATAAAAGAAGAGGAAAAACAAGAGTAAACCTCAGTCAGGCGTTCAAGAGATGGAGGGAGCTCCGTGACCAAAGAGGCTTCAAAACCCATGTCCAGCTAGCTTTCTTTCTAATGGATCAGTAAGTAACACGGCTAAATGTTAGCTAGACGAGAGAGGACTGTACTGTACGGTAGATATGGGGGCAAATGCGTCCCGTATAGGTTTGCGCATTAAAAGTGCTTTTTTTTGGTCACTGACCGGTTCAGATCGCCAGTGTTATGTCTGTAAATAGCATACTAAGCATTAGGAACATTTTTTATATAACATTACCTCCACTGTGTCTGTAGCTCTCTCTACTCGTGGGACAGCCGTTTTCTTGAGGAAGAGGTGTTTCGAGATTGGATGTCTTCTCTTCTTCGGCTGGCAGTAGTCATCTTGGGAGAAGTGAGCACTGCAGACCTGATGGTCTGCAAGGCGCAGTGTCTGGACAGGAGTGTTAGCATCCATTTGTAGCACAACTAGCCACAACTTCAGCATCTCGCCGTCCAACAAAGGCAGCCTATGAAAGCTGTACGGAGTGTTGCACAACATCCTGTTCTTGCAATTCGGATAAGCACAAACATTAACCATTGTTTTCAATCGATGCAGTAAAACTCTCAACTGTACTCTGGGACAACCAGCGCTACTCTGAGCGGCGCTCTGCATGGCTCCTCTGTTTTCTTCCAGCAACAAGCAAAGCTCTCGCAAGATGACGTCACACACAGCCCAGAAGAAGTGAAGGGTAAGGGAAACGCTTAGTATGCTATTTACAGAGATAACACTGGCGATCTGAACCGGTCAGTGGCGAAAAAAAGCACTTTTAATGTGCAAACTTATACGGGACGTATTTGCCCCCATATCTACCTCACGGCTGCCGGCTGCATCCGCCTCCCTCAATACTGAACCAATTTTAGAACGAGTTGTACCTATGAATCATACGCACACATACACATGGGGAAATAGGGCCCAGGTTGAAAAATACCGAAGTTATCCTTTAAGACAGGGGTACCACTTGTGTTTCTTTTCTTTTAACAACACCCAGTAAGTGTTTAGGAAATGAGGACACTAATTGTTGAAGTTTTTAAAATGAAATTCTTTTCCATTCTTGCTCAATATTCGAGCTAAGTTGCTCAACAGTCCAGGGTCTCTGTTGTCCTATTTTGTGCTTCATAATGCTCCGCACATTTTCAGTGGGGTGCAGGTCAATCACGTAGCTGCACTCTTTTACTATGAAGCCACTCTGTTGGAACATGTGCAGAACGTGTCTCATTGTCTAGCTGGAATCAGCAGGGATGTCCCTGAAAAAGACGTCTGGATGGCAGCATATGTTGCTCCAAAACCTGTATGAACATGGTGCCTTTACAGATGTGCAAATAACCTATGATGCCATGGGCAGTAACACACGTCCATACCATCAGAGATGCTCGCTTTGAACTTCGAGCTGGTAATAATCTGGATGGTCCTTTTCCTCTTTAGCCCAGAGGACATGACATCCATGAATTCCAAAAACAATTTGAAATGTGGACTCATCAGACCACAGCACACCATTTTGTGTCGGTCCATCTCAGATGAGCCACAGAAGTCTCATTAGTGACAGAAGTCGGCAGTGTTTCTCAATGTTGTTGATATGGCTTTTGCTTTGAATGGTAAAGTCTAGACCTACAGTTTTAGATGCAGTGATTAACTGTGTTTACTGACAATAGCTTTCTAAAGTGTCCCTGGGCCCATGTAGTAATATACTGTATACAGTCATGTAGGTTTTTATTGCAGTATAGCCTGAGAGGTCAAAGGTCACAGTCATTGGATTGTAGATGGTGGAACCCCTAAATTTCTTGCAATTGTGTGTTAATGCCCCTTTCATATCCAATCATGACACTATCACCTGTTACCAATGAACCAGTTTAACTGTGGAACACATGTTTTTTTTTTTCAGCATTCCACAACTTTCTCAGTCTTTTGTTTTTTTTTTAATTTGGACATTAAATATCTTGTTTCTGTACTGACAATCATAGCATTCTGTTTATATTTATGTTTTACACAGTGTTCAAACATTTTTGGAATCAGGGTTGTAATTACGCACTTGGAGTGACAGAAAACATTATTTCCACTAAAAAGGCATGGGAGTAAAATTTATAAAATAGGGTTACCTTTCTTAGGTCACTTCAGTCAGACTTAAATATTTATATCACTGTGACTGCTATTTATTAACCTCTGTCAGTTTTATGGACAGACCAATTGCTGGCCTAATAAATTGAACATATTCAATCATCTACTGATGGGATAAAATCTGTGGTATGTTGTGTATAATGTACTTATTTTTATTTTTATTGTCTCACTTAAATAAAGCTGTTTTTACTGTGTTCTATTTGATAAAACCACAATACCATGAATGCTCCAAAATATAAAACCACAATACCATGAATGCTCCAAAATATCACAGAGATTGTAAGCATTGCTATGTGGCTTCAAAACATTTACAGTGCACTTAATTGAATAATTCAGCAAGAAGAGGAACTGCTGAGTGTAGCATACCTGCTGATTACACTCACTCTTAAATAACTCACTAGTTGACAAGATCTGTTATACTCAGAAGATTAATATGAGTAGGATTTTCCATATCTTGCTCTCCTCTTAAAACTAAGAGTATTATATCTTAAGTTTTACCCTTGTACCTCAAAGTTCATGTGTTGGCTTTCTAAATACACAACACCATAACATCATAATTGAATCATGGACAGTGGGATATACTGTATATAATGCAGATAGGCTTACTGGTCAATGCTGCTTTCCAGACTCACATTGCTGCTTGGTCTCTTCAACAGCATTGGTGGCCGCGCCTGTGGAAGTGTAAAAATAACATGGAAAAACTAGCATTACCACCCTGTGGTTGTATGTCTCTGCGCACCAGTCAAGTGTCTCTTACAGTTTGCATCTATGTCTGTCAAAATATGGATGCTTCGCACACATTGCCCCCCCCCACAGCACAGAAGATCTATACAATCAGCACAGTTTCAAGGGGGGCACCCAAGATTAGAGTCACCAATTGACCTTTTTTATATAAGAAGTCATTACATCATTATTATATCCCATTAGACATTTGTGTGAAATTTTGTCATAATTAGCATATAAATTCTTAAGTCAGTGACCTTGATCTTTGACAAACGAAATTTAATCAGTTCATTCTTGAGTCCAAGTGGAGGTTTGTACCAAATCTGAGGAAACTCCCTTAACGCCTTCTTGACATATTGCATTAACGAGAATGAGACTGGTCACATTGACCTTGACCTTTGACCTATGTACCCCAAAATCTAGCCATTTAATCGTTAAGTCCAAGTGAATGTTTGTGCTAAATTTGAGAAAAAAATCCCTCGCGGTGTTCTTGAGATATCAGGTTCACAAAAATGAAACATACGAGGTCCCAGTGACCTTGACCTTTAACCTATTACCACTGAAATCCAATCAGTTCATCTTTGAGTCCAAGTGGACATTTGTGCCAAATTTGAGAAAATTCCCTTAAGGCATTTGACCCATGGCCACCAAAATCTAATCAATGTAGCAGTAAGTCTGTGTGAACATTTGTGCCAAATTTGAAGAAATTCCCTCAAGGTGCTCTTGAGATGTTGCATTCATAAGAATGGGACAAGTGTACACACGGACAACAACCCAAAAACACAGTGCCTCCTGCCACGGCTATCGCTGGCACGGAGAAATAAGGAAAGGGAACATAACTAATTCAAAAATATCTACACCGTCAAAAGGGAGACCCACCGGAATGTAAAGAGTTCCCTCCAGAACTGTTGGCATCCTTAATGAAGATAAGTAAGACAGGCTATGAAAAATGTCTTTCACTCAAATCTTCACAAAAATCTTTTCATTGAAGTTAAATTACTGAGAAAAATAAGGTAAATGGATATTTTTCTCCAAAACATATGCCTCAATTAGTAGCCCCTTTTACACTGCCAGATTTTCCGCGAAGGTTGGGGCATTTTGCCAGCAAGCTGCGAGCGTTTAGACACACAGAGCCGGATTGGCGAGTTGATCCGAGGTGCCCAATTTTCCGCCTCGTAGGATAGTCATATTGGTGGAACCCTTTCAGTTTAAAAAGACCAAGGTGGCCTACCGCAACGGGAAGGGCTGTTGAAGACTTGTGGGAGGGGCTGTTGATGACGCCGCACGTGCGACCCACTGGCGGTGGATAAACAGGAAACAGCTGATAGCAGGAATTAGCGAGCAGCTAGTAGCAAGAGGGAAACACAAACCTGACAGACACTGTACAGATGAGCAACTGGGGAGACAAGGAATTGTGCGCCCTCCTTGTCCTCGCAAACGAAGAGGCCATTAACCGTCAGATGACGGGGACGGTGAAGAACGGGCCGACTTACAAGAGAATTGCCGAAGGACTGACCAGCTGCGGCTTCCCTCCCACGTCACTGTTTACGTCACACGCTAAGTTACACGTTTTGTTACTTGCTCACACCCCCGCTTTGCCCCAAAAAAAGGCACATTCTGTATAAACAAAAGTAGTAGGCCGCATTTTCCCGCACTCCCCTATTTTGTTTTCATACTGCCAATGCTGAAAGAAGACTGATTGGGCTTTCCTGCAAACAATTCCTGTTTAAAAAAGGCTTCAAAGTCCGCTGGAAAATCCTATGAATTTTAGATATAAATTCAGTAAATTTGTCATATTTTACATATTTAAGTCTCTGTTGGTTAAGAACTCTTTAAGTGGTCAACTATGATTTCTTCTTTCACAGGCTGAATTCCCTTAATCATTCATCACTATAGAGAAGAACCAGGAACACAGTGATGATGTTCTACTAAAAGCTGATGAACTGCACAAATCAAGAAACAGATGTAAGAAAATCTCTGAATATTTGAAAATACCCGTTTCCACTTTTATGGCAATAACAGAAGTTTAAAGTGATAGAAAATGACCCTACACACTGTGTGTTTTCTGTTTAAAAGATAGCAAGTACTCACCCATGTTTTACATGTTTACGTTTCCAGTATGATCTTGACATTTATGTGGTTTGTTTCCATGATGAAACAAAAGTGCATATTTGATGGTTTCTGCGTGGACAGGGAGCTCTTGTGTTTCGTGATGCAACATAATAATCAGATGCTTACTTTCTGTTTGTACACAGGGTCATTATTTTCCAATTGGGAGAATATTGTATCATAGGAATGAACAATAATGACAATAATAAATAATAATAATAATAATAATACTAATAATAATAAAAAAAATTCCATCTCATTTTGCTTGTTTTTACCAAAGGGTGCCAACAATTCTGGAGGGCAGTGTGCACTGGAACAATGTATGGAGACATTTTATAGGAATGGGAAAATAAAGAAAATTGTGTTAAAATTTGCAGTTGACAATATAAAACTCACTCACACTGTCCTTGTCCCAGTACACAAGCATGGGAGGGGAATCGATTTATTGGCCAAAGTATGTCCAACTCTGCTGTAATAGGTGGCAATATGCCCCCTTTCTGCTTGTTAGTACTGGACCTTTTTCTAGTTGACCTATTACGTCACTGACCAAACAATCAACAAACAAGTTAGCTACAGTTAGCTCGCACCAAACTGGTACCATGGAGGACAACTTTAAAGCTTTGCACATTTCATCCATCCAAAAATGCATGGCTCTGGATGTGGATTTTGCCATGTTGTTACTGGCTTCAGTCCAAAACACACCGGCGGCGTCACATGATGGAGGCGTCATTGACACGAGTCAAGTGCCGCCCCCAACACACACAGAAAGTGTCGTGCTGCGGGGCGTCAACCGGAATTCTATTGCACACTCCACTCCGCTAGGTGGCGGTAATGTGACCAGCTGGTTGCCAACAGCCAATTAGAACAAAAGACGAGGAAGAAGACGCAGGAAGACAAAGAAAGCACACAGTGCAGGACAACCAAGACAACCAGACAACGACGGTACCAGTGTGAGTTGCTTATTATTGTTGTCTATATGTTATTAATGAAATAATTAATAATTGAAACACTAAATTAATAATCTGAGCAATGAGCTCTTCTTCTCTGCGCTTCAACAGAGCTGCTACTACTGGAGCTGGGAAGTACAAAATAGGTGTTTCTCTGAAAAAGAAGTGCTTTTTCAAGGGTGGCGACGCTGGAAAATAGTGAGAAGAGCCGTGGCGCGTCACGTCGACGCGGGTCAACACGCCGCCGGTGTGGGTTTGTAAATAGAGAATAATGGGGGCGTCTGTTTTGACGTGCGTCATACGGCGCCAGTGTGTTTTGGCCTTTCTTCTTCTGTTAGGCATTTATTGCTATTCGCTAGGGTTGGGTCGGTATGAGAAAAAAAAAACGGTCCGTTTTTTTGTGAAAAACCGCATCAAGTCGGTAATACCAGATTTTCTCCACTTGGGGGCGCAACTGACTCATTTAAAATAAAAAACGACCATAGGACAACAGAGTGACAGTAACACTTTGTTTCTTTTATTTCTTACAAATAAATTTGAAGGTTTAGCTTACTCAATCAGTGCAAACAAGGGTTGCCTCTTTCGTCTGGCTTGTTTGTCTGCCATTATCGACTCCCTGTCACTGTTAAAAAAACTCCAGGCTACAGTAGAGGCCTCGGCGCATGCGCACTCGCACCCCTTAGTTCAGTCCCCGCCCTACCCCTACCTCCCTCTCTCTCCTGCTCGCTGTGGGCTTGGCGAAGAGGCAGACAGGTGCTCACAGACTCGGGCATACTATAAGCGAAGCGGACTCCACGAGGAATGTCCGCAGTCATTCGGGCTTCTATAGTCGAGCACACTTCCGTGTTGTAGTTTCCTGTAAAAATGTCCATGAAAAATCCCTGCGATGTGAAAAATACATGCCGAGCAGTCTTTTGTGTGACACTGGTGCGCGGAGTGGAGTCCGCGCGGTCGTAAAATCTGAGCTTTGCGTGCATAGGGCTTGCAGACGTCCGCTTTTAGTCCGGACGGACCTCCGCGGAGTCCGCTCCACATACGTTCCACCCAAGTAGGCTGTAAAATGACGTATGCGGTCTGGTCAGTCTGAAAAAAAAAAAAAAAAAAAAACACGGTCCAAGACGGTGTACCGAAATGAATTGGTATTACCGAGAACCGACCCAACCCTACTATTCGCCTTCCAGGTCGTATAGCAGGAATCTGATTAAAGGGGGTGGTTTATTCTGTTTGTCATTCCGAATGAAAGAATTTTGTGTGCATGTAAACGCTCATTCCTCTTTAAGTTCATTCCGGTCTTTCTGCGCATGCTCATTTCCTTGTCCTTCCTGGTCTTCTATCTCCCTTCTTCGACCTTCTACCTCTCTTCTCCTCCTCAACAGACGAAGCATTAGCAGAACAGGTTTGTTGTCGTATTGCTGCTTCAAGAATATAAGCAAAACACGCCCGAAAAAGGCACTAAGAACGTCGTCGCCAAGCATCTTGTTATCCGGAGCGAGGACTACAGTGTTTTCTTCTGGTAAACGTAAACATGCAACATCCGCCCCGCCCCCTATACAAAAAACCTTCCCTGCCCCAAACCTTGCACAGACCCGAATAAAGGTGATTAAACTGGTCTCCCATGTAAACCCTCATTCGGAATGAATATTTCTCATGTAAACTACCTGAAAAAACTTTAATTCCGAATGATTTCATTCAAATTTATTTCATTCCAAATGAGAAGCCATCATGTAACCGCACCCAATAAATCCATTTTCTCTGATGTCATGTAAACGTACTGACTGTTCAATTGGCCCAGTGCAGAAATGAAAAAAGAACAAAACAAAAATAAAGTCAGTCCATCATGCTATTTTTATCTAATCCTGTAAATTAACAACCTGATCAAATTAAATAATACGATGCAAAAATCCAGTATTACCGAAAACAGTCCTGCTGACTGATTTGCAACATTGTCTACAGCTGTCTAACACAGGGCTTTTCAGACTGTGAGGATGGAGCAGAGTTTAAGAGGGAGTGCAGATGGAGAAACAGCAGGAAAGACATTGTGTGAGGTGACAGAGACATGTGCATGCAGTGTTTTAAAAACAACAGAAAGTAAGTTATTGTAGTTTGGTCCACTGATGGGGCCCGCCTATCAAAGCAGTGAGCAGATGGAGCAGTAGCAGTTGCTGTGACACACAGCTCATGAATAACATTAAAGTACTTTAAAAATCCTAACACCCGCAATGATGCAATGTACATCAAAACAAACCCAATCAATCCTCCTCTCCACTCCACGCCCCCCGCCTCATTTCAGCCCACCTGTCCAAAATGCACAGTGATTGGCCTGTGGTCATCCAAGGTTCGCAGTGGCCCCTCCCTCCTGACTGCACCGGTGGAAGATGTAAATCCTGCTGTACTGTCGTCATCAATGACTGCTGACCCTGCTGTGGAAAAGCCATTTTCTGCCTGCTCCTGCAGAGAGGGGACACAGGGAGGTGGAGGTTGGTGAAAGGAGAGATGGCCCTGCAGGGGTAGGGAGGCTGCAAGCTGTGGCTGAGGTTGTAGGGTTCAGTTAAGGTAATTAAGTCAGGGTAGTGATTAAGGGATTTTTTGAAAGAAAGAGACCAAGGACTTTCTCCACCTTTGCTCCTGGAGCTGAAGATTCATACTCTTAAGTGTACACACCACTGTAAAAGAGTCTATAGCAACAGCATGACATGATCCACAATGGTTTGTCAGCAACAGAAGTACATACCTTCTGTTTAAGCCGGCTCTTGACTTCCTTGATACGCATTTTTGCATGGTCCTTGGCCTGTCAAACAAACATAAACAAAGCCATATCATTGCCATTCTCATTTCTTACTACTGTTTCAGTTTCCAAACTCTTTCAACCTGCAGGGATGCCGTGTTCCCGGCCAGCATTACTGTCTTTAGGAGACTGTAGCAGGCTGAGTTTTAAAGCTAGAGTGATAATACTAGAAAGACCTAAGAAATCCATTGGCACTAACAATGTCATGCAAGCTTGTCAGGAAGGGGTTTAAATAATAATTAATATTAATATTAATATTCTCTCAGCAGCTAGAGCAGCTCAGGCAGGACACAATCAGTGGCGTCAGGCAGATCAACAGCACTGCCCTCCCAGGGAACCTAAAGCTCTGGTGTTTCCAGTTCAGTTTGCTGCCTCAATATATGTGGCCAATCACCATCTATGAGGTAAGCTCGTCTAGGGCAGATTGTTTGGGAGTAACTAAGTAAGTAAGTAAATAAATCTTTATTTATATAGCACCTTTCACAGCTCAAAGTCACAAAATGCTTCACAATAAATATACAAACAGTTAAATAAATAGAAAACACAGCAAGTACAAATGTGCAAATATACAGTGCAACCGAAACACAATCTATATACAGTCTATATAATTACTTACAATTGTCCAAACACCTGCCTGAAAAGGTGAGTCATCAATTGTATCTTAAAAATGTGGACAGAGGCTAAGGATCTCAGGTCCAAGGGCAAGGAGTTCCAAAGCTTTGGGGCCACGGATCGAAAAGCTCGGTCACCTCGAGTTTTCAGCCTTGTCCGAGGCACAACTAGGATCCCCTGGTTAGAAGACCTCAGTGACCGGTCGGAGATGTAAGGGTTGAGGAACTCGCAAATATAAGCAGGGGCTACTCTGTGGAGGGCTCTGCATATCAGGACCAGGACCTTGAATTGGAATCTAAAGTGAACAGGAAGCCAGTGCAGGGATGCCAGGATGGGGGTGATATGGCAAGACTTACGTGACCGAGTGAGCAACCTGGCAGCGGCATTTTGGACAAGTTGTAAATGGTCCAGAGATGTTTTACTGAGGCAGGTGAACAGTGAATTGCAGTAGTCAAGCCGGGATGAAATAAATGCATGGATGGCCATTTCCAGTTCTGAGTGTGAGACGGTGGACCTGAGTTTTGCAAGGTTTCTGAGGTGGAAGAAGCATGAGCAGGACAGAGAATTAACATGTTTTTCAAACAGCATGTTTTGGTCAAAAATTACCCCAAGGTTCCTGAGGTCAGACCTGATGTTATGTGCCAGTGACCCCATGTGGTTGACTACCTTAGAGACCGTAGAGTCATCCGCAGTAATAAGAAACTCAGTCTTGTCTGCGTTTAGTTGGAGGAAGTTGTTTGCCATCCAGCTCTTGATAGCAGACAGACATTCATGAATATGTTGATTTCGTCTATGTTATCTGGTTTAAATGACAGGTATAGTTGGATGTCATCTGCATATCAATGATAGGAAACGCCTTTGAAATTACTGATGATACGGCTAAGGGGAGGCATATACAGGGAGAACAGTATAGGGGCCAGAACAGAACCCTGAGGCAGGCCACATGATAGTGGGGCGGAATCAGACACAAAAGGGGTAACAGCTACTGAGAAGCTTCTCTCACTAATGTAGGAGGCGAACCACTTCAAGGCACTCCCCGAGACATCCACCCACCTACTGAGCCTGTCGAGCATGATATGGTGGTCTACAGTATCAAATGCTGCACTCAGGTCTAATAACACCAGTATGGATCATTTGCCTGCATCGGTAGCCATCATGATGCCATTTGACACTCTGAGGAGGGCTGTTTCTGTGGAGCGCTGCTGCCGGAAACCAGAGTGGAATTTATCTAACAGGCCTTGGGTGGTCAAGAAGGAGATAAGTTGGTTTGCTACTACTTTCTCAAGGATTTTAGATTTAGTTGGCAGTTTGGAGATGGGTCTGTAATTTTTAGGTATGGAAGGGTCTAAGCTTGGCTTTTTGAGAAGCGGCTGCACAGTAGCCTGATTTCGGCAAAGTGTTAATAATGGAGACCAAGCTAGGGCCCACAGAGCTAAAAACCTCTTTCAGCAAGGACGTTGGTAAGATGTCTAGTGGACTGGAGGAGGATTGCATGGTGCTCACTAGCTCAGTCAGATCCTGCAGAGTAATAGAGGAGAAACTGCTGAGAGAAGCCAGCCTGGGTGGACAGGTTGGAGGGGAGGCAGCGGAGGGGGTGATACTAGCCCTTTCATCAACACATTCACAAAAAAAGACAGAAAATTATTACAATTGATTGTAATACCGATTGGAAGAAACAGGGACTGAGGGGAGTGGAGGACTGATAATGTTATTAATAGTCTGGAATAAGACTCTGGGGTTTCGTCTGCTGGAAGTGATCAGGTTAGCAAAATAAGCAGCCCTTGCGTTCTTAATCAGCGCATAAAGTTCTGTTAACAGATATTTGAGATAGAAATGGTGAACCTGGAGTTTGGTGGATTTCCAAAGGCGTTCCATTTTTCGACATTTGCGTTTGTGGCTGTGGATCTGACCATTCATGATGGACAACAACAAAATCGCGTGTACCCGGCCTGGAGGGTTACTGGGGCCCCACCCTGGAGCCAGGCCTGGGGTTGGGGCCTGTGGGCGAGTGCCTGGTAGCCGGGCCTTCGCCCATGGGGTTCGGCCGGGCCCAGCCCGATGCGACATGGGCTCATCCCCCTGCAGGCCCACCACCCGCAGAGGGATCCAGAAGGGATAGGTGCAGTGTGGATCGGGCAGCAGATCAAGACGGGGGCCTTGGTGGTCCGATCCTCGGCTACGGAAGTTGGCTCTTGGGACACCTTGACACATAGTTCCGGCTCTGGAACCCAAGTCCTTGAGAGGGGTTGGACTCTCTCCTTTGCTGGAGTTGCTCCGAGTGAGATCCCCCAGACTCTCTGCCTGTACGTTGGGGTTCACCCCAGTAGATGAAAGGGTTGCTTCCCTGCGCTTTCGGGTCGGAGAACGGGTCCTGACTGTTGTCTGCACTTATGCGCCAAACAGCAGTTCAGAGTTCCCGCCCTTTTTCAATCAATCAATCAATTTTATTTATAAAGCCCAATATCACAAATCACAATTTGCCTCACAGGGCTTTACAGCATACGACATCCCTCTGTCCTTTGGACCCTCACAGTGGATAAGGAAAAACTCCCCAAAAAAAAAACCTTAAACGGGGAAAAAAAATGATAGAAACCTCAGGAAGAGCAACTGAGGAGGGATCCCTCTTCCAGGACGGACAGATGTGCAATAGATGTCATACAGAACAGATCAACATAATAAATTAACAGTAATCCGCATGACACAATGAGACAGAGAGAGAGACAGAGAGAGAGAGACAGAGAGAGATGCAGGACAGACGGTAATGACAGTAGCTTATAACAACACTAATGAAAGTAATAATATTATAATTATAGTTCTGGCTACTGTGGTACAATATGTTGAAAGTATGTATTAATATCTGATAGTATACATATGTGACAATAATCATATGTGTATAATAACAGTAGAAGTATGACTAATGACTAATGATGGCAGCAGCAGCAGGAGGCATCTGGCAGGACCACGGCAGCAGCACAACCACACACGTCACGCTGTCCAGGCACCGCTGTGATATGAGTTAATCTGAGAGACAGTGGAGCACAAAGGCTCCGGAGAAGAAGCCGAGTTAGTGACATCCAGAATGGCCGAGTTAGCAAGATGCAGTAATAGAATACGAGAGCGAGAGAGAGAGAGAGAGAGAGAGAGAAGGTGCCCGGTGTATTATAGGGGGTCCTCCGGCAGACTAGGCCTAAGTCAGCCTAACTAGGGGCTGGTACAGGGCAAGCCTGAGCCAGCCCTAACTATAAGCTTTATCAAAGAGGAAAGTCTTAAGTCTAGTCTTAAATGTGGAGACGGTGTCTGCCTCCCGGACCGTAACAGGAAGATGATTCCACAGGAGAGGAGCCTGATAGCTGAAGGCTCTGGCTCCTGATCTGCTTTTGGAGACTTTAGGGACCACGAGTAACCCTGCGTTCTCAGAGCGCAGTGTTCTGGTGGGATAATATGGCACTATGAGCTCTCTAAGATATGACGGAGCTTGACCATTTAGAGCTTTATAAGTTAACAGTAGGATTTTAAATTCAATTCTGGATTTTACAGGGAGCCAGTGCAGAGAAGCTAAAACAGGAGAAATATGATCTCGTTTCTTAGTTCCTGTTAGTACACGTGCTGCTGCATTCTGAATTAGCTGGAGAGTTTTTAAGGACTTACTAGAGCTACCTGATAATAGAGAGTTACAGTAATCCAGCCTTGAGGTAACAAAAGCGTGGACCAATTTTTCTGCATCTTTTCGGGTCAGGATAGGCCTAATTTTCGCAATATTACGCAGATGAAAAAATGCAGTCCGTGAGGTTTGCTTTAAATGAGAATTAAAAGACAAATCTTGATCAAATATTACTCCGAGGTTTCTTACGGTAGTGCTAGAGGCCAGAGCAATGCCATCTAGAGAAACTATGTCATCAGATAAAGAGTCTCTGAGTTGTTTGGGGCCAAGAACAATAACTTCAGTTTTGTCTGAATTTAACATCAGGAAATTGGTGCTCATCCAATTTTTTATGTCTTTAAGGCAGTTATGGAGTTTAGTTAATTGATTACTTTCTTCTGGCTTCATCGATAAATACAACTGTGTATCATCCGCATAACAATGGAAATTTATAGAGTGATTTCTAATGATGTTACCTAAAGGAAGCATATATAGAGTAAATAGGATTGGTCCGAGCACAGAACCTTGCGGAACTCCAAAACAAACTTTGGTACGTAAGGATGATTCATTACGAACGTCAACAAATTGAAAACGATCAGATAAATAAGATTTAAACCAGCTTAGTGCTGAACCTTTTAGGCCAATTAAGTGATCCAGTCTCTGCAGTAGAATTTGATGGTCAATTGTGTCAAACGCCGCACTAAGATCTAATAAAACAAGAACAGAGACGAGTCCTTTGTCTGAAGCAATC